GGATAACGGACAATTTAACGGAGTTATTTTGGAGTTTGATGATAATACTAATAAACTGCTGAATATTGAAAGAATTAAAAAAGTATTTTAAAATAACTATATGAATTTCTCTTGAATATACCAAACTCCGGACAAAGGCTGATGGGCTAATTATCGTTGGCACCTAACTGAACCAAGCGAAAAATTAGGGTTAAAACCTAATGGTTGAAAAAAGTCCTTTTTTCGAAAAGGATGACAAGGCAAAGTATTAAAAGTAGAGGGCATTGACAATGCTAAAAAGTGTTTACAATCCTTCCGAAATGGCACTATTACTGCTTTTGGCGGGAGATTTCGCGGAGCCAGTTATGACAAAAATGCCGAACGGATAATTAACCAAGCCAAAAGGTCATTAAAAGAAGCAATTAAAAGACATGAAAAAGGAGAAAATATTAATATCCAAGAAACCGCTATTGCACCTTCTTCTTATTACAGTTGGGGAGTAATTATTGGAATTGGTGGAGTTGTAATTTTTGTGGTTGCTATTATTTTATATCTATTTTGGAGGAAAAAAAGCAACGGATTAAATGTTAAATTTCCCAAGCAGAAAAAAATTAAGACCTACGCAAAAGAAAAGTCAACGAAATAAATATGGCTATCAATACCATATAAATATTACGGATAAAATTAGTTAACTTAGTAAAATGAGTGGCCTTATAAATGTTCTCTTTGCGTTCCTGAGCCGGTGAAAAACTGTCTTCTTCTCCAAAAAAAAAGGAACAACCGATAATTACTATTCCCAAAATTCACAAGAATATTTTTAGTATTAACATAAAACTTATTAAATTATTTTAGCAAAATTATAACCTTGGAGTAAAAAATAATTATATGGCAATGACAAAAAATATTATCGAAATCAGAAATAATTAAAAAGTCTTATGGAGGTAAAACGGTATTAAAAAATATTAGTTTTTCGGTTCAAAAAGGTAGTATTCATGGCTTTATTGGTCCCAATGGAGCAGGTAAAACTACAACTTTAAATTGCTTGATGAGCGGAGTAAAACCAAATAGCGGCGAAATTTACTTAGAAGGACAAAAAATCGGTGAGGATGAATTAGTTAACCAAAAAATTGGTTTCATGACCGAACAGGCGAAATTTACCGAGGATTTAAAAGTAGCAGATTTTATTCATTTAGCGGGAAAATTGCGGAACATTCCCGCTCCAAAAGTAGAAGCCCGTTTACGACAATCAGATTTAAATAATCACCGCTTTAAAAGGTGTGGGGAATTATCGACGGGTTGGAAAAAGATTTTGCTCTACTTTGTTTCCGTGATGCATGACCCAGATATTTTGGTGCTGGATGAACCAACTTCCGGCTTAGACCCCTCCTATCGAGGGATTTTATTAAATCAATTAGAGCAAATACGAAAACGAGGCGGAACCGTTTTAATTTCTAGTCATATTTTATCAGACTTACAAAAATTAGTGGACTCCGCCACCTTGATTGACAAAGGTAAAATAGTTTATACTGGAGAAAAACCGGCTGATATTGAAGAAATGTATAATAAATTAGTTCTCAAAGATAAAATTAAAGCAAAGAGCGGACAAACTTGAATTTAATAAAAATAGTATAAAACCAAGTTAACAAGTTAATAAAATAAAGTATAAAGTAAAAATGAATACCAAACATTCCCGAAATTATTTCTGAAAAAGGTTTTTTACCAAAAAAAGCACCTGAATAATCTTGCTTTTACATCTAGTTGTTATTGGCTTTTTCTTTGTTGCAACCAGAAAAAACAAATGAGGATTTGGTATGCAAGCGGAAACTGTTTCAAACCACAGTGGCTCTATTGGTCATAGCGGATCTGTCAACCCAACCATCAACAACACCAATGACTTTTTTGCTTGCGTCTTTCCTAATTTAATCTTTCTCCCGATTTTCCTTTGAACTTATGTTTTTGTTCCGCTTTCTTGATTGTTTTGATGGCGATTTGATGAGGTGGGTCAAGCAACTCAGGCTGATGGAACTGATTTGTTTTTTCTTTCCACCGAAATACCAACCAGTCGGAAACAAATTTTTTGGGGAAAGGTAGTCTTTTTAACTGAATTTTCTCAGTTTTGCATTTAATTTTGTTTGCTCTGCCGCTTTCGCTCCTATTATGAAAAGCCAATTATTTTAGTAATTTTACCGGATTACAGACCTTTCTTTTCTTGACTTGGAATTTTCTGATTACTCCTTTATTTTTACTGGTTCCGCTGGTGGTTCTCTTGTTTTCTTTGGCTTCTTTGAACTCAATCTGATATACTATTTTGAAATGGTTCGGCCGGTTGTCCCTAATTTTTTTTGGTATTTTAGGACTTCTCGTCGTCCAAACCCTTCTTCATGGGGGAGGAATGGGAGAAAAAATACTCCAATGAGGTAAGGATTTTTTGCAATGACTAAG